ACTGATTCGGTTCTGCTGACCTAGTCCCCTCTGACCAGGCCCCCACTGATTCGGTTCTGCTGACCTAGTCCCCTCTGACCAGGCCCCCACTGATTTGGCTCTGCTGACCAGGCTGCCCCGACCAGGCACCCACTGATTCGGTTCTGCTGACCAGGCTGCCGCGACCAGGCCTCCACTGATGAGGGCCTCACTGATGAGGACACACCCACCAGATCCTGTTGACTAGGTCCCATGTGACCAGGCCTCCACTGAATAGGACCAGTTGACCTGGTCACCAGTGACCCAGCCCATGCTGACAAGGACAACAGTAAGCCCCACATGACGAGGTCTCTACTGAGCAAGCACCGCAGCCCAGGTTTGCACTGACCAGACACCAAATAACCAGCTGCCCCTAAATCTCCCCTCACCAACACCCCACTACTAGGTCCCCCTGATGAGGCTCTCTCTAGGCAGACCCCTGTTGACCAGGCCCTCACCAAATAGGCCTCACTGACAAAGTCCCCACTGACCAGGTCCACACTGATCAGGCCCCTCTGACTAGGCCCCCCTGGCAAGGCCAAAGTGACGAGGTGCTTACTGGCCAGGTTTCAAGTGACTAAACCCCAGTGACTACACCTTCACTGACAAGGTCCCCTCTCATCAGGGCCTCACTTGCCAGGCCCCCAGGGACCAGTGACTAGGCTCCCAGTGACCAGGGGGACCTTGGTCCTAAATTTCTTTAAAGTCATGTTCAGGCAATGTGATGTTTGAAAAACCACTACTAGCTTTGTCCACAGATTTAAGTTATCAAAAGTTACGCAAGGTAGTTTTGACATCGAATGCAGCTTTAAACAATTTAAAAAAATGATACTAGGTTTACTTCTCAAAGCAAATTATACAAGAGAGCCCCCAACCCTGTAAACTACACACTAGGGTCTGGGGGGAAATGGGGGAGGGATGGGGGGGTGGGGAGGTGGGGAGAGATAGCATGGGGAGAAATGCCAGATATAGGTGAAGGGGAGGAAGGCAACAAATCACACTGCCATGTGTGTACCTATGCAACAATCTTGCATGTTCTTCACATGTACCCCAAAACCTAAAATGCCATAAAAAAAAAAAACCTAAACATTCTGACACAAATGCACAAAATTAAGTTGGCAACATTAAGGAAAATCACATTAATTCTGAGATACAGAGTGTGATGTTGAGCAAACTCTTGGCCTTGACTCTTGAAATAATTTCAGAGCAGTTCTCAGTTTTGGCCATCAGGAAGGGAAACTGCCTATGGAACTCTCGCAAACCAATCAGATTAACAAACCATTCAGAGTGCCATATAAAACCTGGGTGATACAGGGAATGCCAGATGGAAAAGCTGACTCTGGTTTTCTGGCCCCACCCCATCTGTATGAGAAGGACTATCCTGTCATTATGTGCAATGTTTGATGTTTTCACGTATGTTCCTGTCTCGGGAAAACACTGAAGATTAGCTAGCAACCAGGTGGTTGTACCTCATTGGTAAAAGTCTTGGGATGGTTTAATCTCATGGCTTTGCCTGATGTTCACATAAACCCCACTCTTCCTACCCAAGCTGACAGCGTGTTATTGTTTGTGTATGTTCTATGGCTACTTGCTTCCAAAATGCACAATTTAATGTGAAAAAAAGTATGTTGCTATGCCCATCTCTTCTGTCACCAAAATGAAAAGGCTCACAGAATTCCTCTCCCCACCCTCCAGACACATTGCACACTGACATTCTCTGGAAGTGTGGAAGGCCACGTACAAAGTGTAGAAGTGAGAAACTCCTGCTGTGCACCAGCTGCCTGAAGAAAAGCTTTGGAGGAGTACAGGAGGCAAGTTGCTCAGCTTTGCTCTTACTGTGCTCATTTGCTGCCACAAAAATGGGTAGACTTTTAAAAGCCATGGTGTGGGTCACCTGTAACTTCTGGACCCACCATGATTCTTCCGCAGTCTCCTTTGCCAAATCAAAGCTTTGCAGCAGGCAATCCAGACACTTGTCACTGGATGCAGGGAATGACACCTCACAGTGGAATGGGCACTGGCAGGCAGGGGGCAGAAGCAGTCCTCTAAGAAACAGTAGCTGTGGCACAAGTAGAGGCCAGTGCTACAGTACAGATGGCAAGCAGGAACCCCACACGTCCAGCTCGATGTCACAACATGGGGAACATCCTACGTCACCCATTACGGCTGATCAGCAGCCTCCACAGGTGGGTCTTTCAGGAGGCAGGAAGTGGAGCAAGGGTCCATGGCTGAGTGCATTATAGGAATATAAACATCATCCATGTCTGGCATGACAAAAACTTTCTGAAGCTCTTGCTCCAGTTTCTTCTCTATCCAGTCTGTCACGTGAACTAAAGTCACTTCTCTCTCTCCAAGTTTTGGCCGAGCTTTCAGCTCCACACGTGGTGGCTTTCGGAAACCATACCATACTCGGCCAGTTGGCGGTGGTGGAATGTTGACTGCCAAGCTTCCTCTGCATTCTTGTACTTCAACAGTGAGCAGCAGGGGTGTGTTGGAGAGTTCTTCAATCTTCTTTTTAATAAACTCTGTCTCTGTTGCTTTTTGGAAATATTTTGACTTGGTAATTTATCAACAAACATTTGAACTGCCAGAGTTAGCTTACAGGACACTTGCCAGAGTTATGTGTGACTATTTTAAACACTTTAAATGCTTGGAACAGGAAGCTGCAGCAGCAGGGACTGAACCCCCTCCAGCCACCACCAGCCTGGAAGAGCAGCCCAAGGTCCACCTAGCCGGGAAAACCATGTCCAAACCAGGAAATGGACAGCCCCTAGTCCCTGAGAAGCCGCCCCTGAAGGACAGCATTTCCACATGAGTGACAGCGTCCACTCACTGGGAAAGGTGACCTCAGATGTGGCCAAAAGAAGGAAGCTGAACCCAGGGTGCGGCCTGTCGGAGGAGTTAGGTTCTGCCTGACGTTCAGGAGAAGTGACCCTGGTGAAAGGGGATCCCAGGTCCCTGGAGGAGTGGGGACAGTGGTAGATGATGACTTCAGTCTCTACTATGATTTTTACTCTGTGGATGAGCACATGGACTCTGACAGCAAGTCGGAAGCTGAAGCTCTAACTGAACAACTAAGTGAAGAGGAGGAGGAAGAGGAATAAGAGGAGGAAGATGAGGAGTCAGGGAATCAGTCAGATAGGAGTGGTTCTAGTGGCCGGCACAAGGCCAAGAAGAAATGGCGAAAAGACAGCCCATGGGTGAAGCCATCTCGGAAACGGCACAAGCAGGAGCCTCCGAGGGCCAAGGAGCCACGAGGAGTGAACGGTGTGGGCTCAGGCCCCAGTGAGTACATGGAGGTACCTCTGGGGACCCTGGAGCAGCCCAGCGAGGGGACCCTCTCCCTCAACCATGCTGGGGTGTCCAATGACACATCTTCGCTGGAGACAGAGTGCAGGTTTGAGGAGTTGCCCCTGTGCAGCTGCCGCATGGAGGCACCCAAGATTGACTGCATCAGTGAGAGGGCAGGGCACAAGTGCATGGCCATGGAGAGTGTGGACAGAGAGCTTTCGGGCTGCAATGCCACCATCCTCAAGCGGGAGACCATGAGGCCACCCAGCCACGTGGCCCTGATGGTGCTCTGTGAGACCCACCGCACCCGCATGGTCAAACACCACTGCTGCCCGGGCTGCGGCTACTTCTGCATGGCGGGCACCTTCCTGGAGTGCCACCCTGACTTCTGCGTGGCCCACCACTTCCACAAGGCCTGTGTGTCTCAGCTGAATGGGATGGTCTTCTGCCCCCACTGTGGGGAGGATGCTTCTGAGGCTCAGGAGGTGACCATTCCCCGGGGTGATGGGGTGACCCCACTGGCCGGCACTGCAGCTCCTGCACCCCCACCCCGTCCCAGGTTGCCCCCGGGAGAGCAGACACTTCCCAGCCCAGCGCCCGGATGCGAGGCCATGGGGAGCCCTGGCGCCCACACTGCTATCCCCTGGCCGACACCATCAACAGCTCAGGACCCTCCCTGACCCTGCCCAATGGGAGCTGCCATGGGGCTGCCACTGGGGCCAGGCCGGGAGACCCTGGAAAAGGCCCTGGTCATCCAGGAGTCAGAGAGGTGGAAGAAGCTCCGTTTCCATCCTCGGCAGTTGTACCTGCCTGTGAAGCAGGGCGAGCTGCAAAAGGTGATCCTGATGCTGTTGGACAACCTGGACCCCAACTTCCAGAGCGACCAGCAGAGCAAGCGTAGGCCCCTGCATGCAGGCGCCCAGAAGGGCTCTGTGGAGATCTGCCATTTGCTGCTGCAGGCTGGAGCCAACATAAATGCAGTGGGTACCACTGATGGAGGCCGTGGTGAACAACCACCTGGAGGTGGCCCGTTACATGGTGCAGACTGGCGGCTGCGTCTATACCAAAGAGGAGGGCGGTTCCACCTGCCTCCACCATGCAGCCAAAATCGGCAACTTGGAGATTGTAAGCCTACTGCTGAGCACGGGACAGGTGGATGA